AAAAAAAAAAAAAAGCTAAACATTATCTGAGCTTCCAGTGAGGAGTAATGTTTTTGCTGGAGGGTCTTACCTCAATGTTGGTGATGGCTGCTCAAAGCTGGGGTGGCTGTAGCAATTTCTTAAAATAAGACAATGAAATTTACCACATCAGTGGACTCTTCCTTTCATGATTTCTCTGTATCATGCAATGCTATGTGATAGCATTTTACCTACAGTAGAGCTTATATCAAAATTGGAGTCAGCCCTTTCAAATTCTGCCACTGCTTTACCAACTAAGCTTATGCAATATTCTAAGTCCTTTGGTGTCTTTTCAACAATCTTCACAGCATTTTCACAAGAAACAGATTCCATCTCAAGAAACTGTGTTCTTTCCTTAACCATAAAAAGCAACTCATCATCCATTCGTTTAATCATGAGATTGTAGCAATTCAACCACGTATAGACTCCACTTCTAACTCTAGTTCTCTTGCTATTTCCAATCTGCAGTTACTTCCTCTGCTGAAGTCTGGATCCCCTCAAAGTCATCTATGAGGTTTGGAATCTATTTCTTCCAAACTCCTGTTCATGTTGATATTCTGATCTCTTCCCATGAATTGAGAATGCAGAAAGGTGAATCCTTTCCAGAAGGTTTTCAACTGACTTTGCCCTGATCCATCAGAGGAATCACTATCTGTGGCAGCTATAGCATTATGAAATGTATTTCTTAAACAATAAGACTTGAAAGTCAAAATGACTCCTTGATTCATTCGCCACAGGATGGATGTTGTATAGTAGGCATGAAAACATTCTCATTGTACATCTCCATCAGAGCTCTTGCGTGACCTCATGCACTGTTAATGAGCAAGTAACATTTTGAAAGGAATCTTTTGTTCCAAGCAGTAGGTCTCAACAGTCAACTTAAAATGTTCAGTAAACCACTGTAAACAGATGTGCTCTCTTCCATTCTTTGTTGTTCCATTTACAGAGCACAGGCAAAGTAGATTTAGCATAATTCAAGGGCCCTAGGATTTTTGAAATGTTCAGTGAGCACTGGCTTCAACTTAAAACTCACCAGCTCCATTTGTCCCAGAGAGTAAGCCTGCCCTTTGAAGCTCTGAAAGCACTGAAGTCAGGCACTGACTTCTCTAACTCTGCCATCTTCTTTCAGTAGAAGGCTGTTTTATCTACATTTAAAGCAGCTGTTCAGGATGGCCACCTGCATGAACTGTCTTAGCTGGACCTTCTGGATAACTTGCTGCCAAACTTCTACATCAGCACTTGCTGCTTCACGTGCACCTTTATGTCATGGAGACAGCTTTTTTCTTAAATCTCATGAACCAACATCTGCTAGCTTCAAACTTTTCTTCTGCAGCTTTCTCACCTCTCTCAGCCTTCACAGAACTGAAGAGTTAGGGTCTTGTTCTGCATCAGGGTTTAGCTTAAAGGAATGTTTTGTCTGGTTTGACTGTCTACTCAGGCCACTCAAACTTTGTCTATTTTAGCAATAAGGCTGCTTCGTTTTCTTATCATTGGTGTGTTCACTGGAGTGACACTTAATTTTCTTCAAGAACTTTTCCTTTACATTTACTATCTGGCTAACTGTTTGGCGCAAGAGGCCCAGCTTTCAGGATATCTGCTTTTGACATGCCTTCCTCACTTAAGCTTAGTCATTTCTAGCTTTTAATTTATAGTGAGAGACATACAACTCTTCCTTTCACTTTAACCATGAGAGGCCACTGTAGGGTTATTAATTAGCCTAATTTTAATATTGCTGTCTCAGGGAATAGGGAGGCCTGAGGAGGAGGAAATAGGAAGACTGCTGGTCAGTGGAGCAATCAGAACACTCACAACATTTACCAATTAAGTTCACTGTCTTACTTGGGCACAGTTTGTGACACCCCAAAGCAAATAAATTAATAACATTAAAGACCACTGATAAAAGATCACTGGAACAATTATAATAATGAGAAAGTTTGAAATATTGTGAGAATGACCAAAATATGACAATACATGAAGTGAGCAAATGCTGTTGGAAAAACAATGCTAATAATAGACTTGCTCCATGCAAGGGTGTGACAAACTGATTTGTAATAAAACTCGGTATCTGTGGAGCACAATAAAACAAGGTATGCCTGTGTTGCAAAATAATCACAGTAAGTCAATCACTAAACATAGTCACAAAATTTTTGTATGGCAAGAACTTTTAAGATCTACTCTTTTAGAACTTTCAAATAAGGATAATAGTATTAACTCTAGTTACCATGCTGTGACCGTCTTTAGTTTCCATATATAAGAAAGATCATATGGTATTTATCTTTCTCTGACTTATTTCTCAGCATAATGCCGTTAAGGTCCATCACACTGCAGCAAATGATAAAATATCCTCTTTCTTATAGCTGAATACTCCTCTGTTGTGTGTGTGTACATATGGACCACATTTTCAATTCATCTACTGATAGGCATTTTTATTGCTTCCACATCTTGCCTACTGTAAATAATGCTCCAATGAACATGGGGGTACATGTATCTTTTTTAATTAGTATTTTCATTTCCTTCGGGTAAATACCCAGAAGTGGGAATAGCTGAATCATACATTAATTCTATTTTTAATCTTTTGAGGAACCTCATACTGTTTTCCATAGTGGCAGTAACAATTTACATTCTCACCAACAGTACACAGGTTTCCATTTCTCCACATCTTTGTCCATACTTCCTGTTGTCTGATACCAGCCATTCTAACAGGTGTAAGGTGATATATCTCATGGTTTTGATTTGCTTTTCCCTGATCATTATAGAGATGTTATCACCTTTTTCATGTGCCTTTTGGCCATTTTTATGTCTTAACTTTGAGAAAAATGTCTATTCAGATCATGTGTCCACTTTTCAACTGAACTGTTTGCCTTTTTGCTAGTGAGTTGTATGAGTTCTTTGTGTATTTTGGGTATTAACATCTTACCAGATATATAATTTGTGAAAATTTTCTCCAATTTTGTAGGCTGCCTTTTTGTTAAGTTTCCTTTGCTGTGAGAAAGCTTTTTGGTTGAATGGAGACCCACTTGTTTGATTTTTCCTTTTGTTGCCTTTGCACATCAAATCCAAAAAGTCATCACCAAGACCAGTGTCAAGGAGCTTACCTCCTATGTTTTCTTCTAGGAGTTCTATGGTTTCAGGTGTTAACATTCAAGTCTTTAATCCATTTTGATTATTGTGTATTCTTGGCTCTTTTGTCGTAAATTAAATGATCACGTGTGTGGGTTTATTTCCAGACTATCTTTTTAGTTCCACTGATCTCTAAGTCTGTCTTTATGCCAATATTATTCTGTCTTAATTACTATAGCTTTGTAATATAGTTTGAAATCAGGGAACATAATGCCTCCAGTTCTTCTTTCTCAGGATTGCTTTGGCTATTCAGGACCTTTTGTGGTTCCATACAAATGTTGGGATTGTTTCATTTCTTTAAAAAAAAATGCCACTGGAATTTTGACAGGGATTGCAATGAGTCTGCAGATCACTTTGGGTAGTATGGATATTCTGACAACATTAGTTCTCCCAGTCCTTGAGCACGGGTTATCTTTCATTTGTGTCCTCTTCAATTTCTTTCATCAATGTCTGGTAATTTTCAGTACAAAGATATTTAACCCCCTTGGTTTATTAATAGCTATTTTATTCTTTTTGATGCAATTGTAAATGGCACTGTTTTCCTAATTTCCCTTACTCATAGTTGCTATGAGTGTATGGCAGCATTTTTAAATATTGATTTGCATCCTATGAATTTACTAATTCATTTATTCTAACAGTTTTTTGGTGGAGTACATAATTATCATGTCACTTGCAAACAGTGACAGTTTTACTTAAAACTTTCCGATTTGGATGCTTTTTATTTCTTTTTCTTGCCTGACTGTTGTGGCTAGGACTTCCAGAAGTATGTTCAATAAAACTGGCCAAACTGAGCATCCTTGTCTTGTTCCTGAGCTTAAAGGAAAAGTTCAGCTTTATGTTTTTTAGTATGATGTTACCTGTGGGCTTGTTTATTATATCCTTAATTAATGTTGAGTTACATTCCCTCTAATACCCAAGTTTTTTGAGAATTATCATAAATGTATGTTAAATTTTTTCAAATGCTTTCTCTGCATCTATTGAGATGATATGATTTTTAGCCTTCGTTTTTTTAACATGGTATATCACAATGACTGATTTGTGGATATTGAACTATCTTGCATCCCTAGAATAAATTCCATAGGTCATGGTACAGGATCCTTTTATTTTATTACTGAATTTGGTTTGCTATTCTTTTGTTGAGGATTTTTGCATCTATCTATATCAGGGATACTGGACTATAATTTCCTTTTTGGTGATAGTCTTGTCTGGTTTAGGTATCAGGGTGATGCTAGCCTTGTAAGTTTGGAAGTGTCTCTATTTTTTTTTGGAAGAGTTTGAGAAGAATCGGTATTAATTTTTCTTTAAATGTTTGGTAGAATTCACCAGTGAAGTCATTTAGTCATCTGATCTTGGACTTTCATTTGGTGAGAGGTTTTTGATAACTGATTCAACCTCCTTACTAGTAATGGGTTTATTCAGATTTTCTATTTTTCCATGATTGATTCAGTCTCAGTGAGTTCTAGGAATTTACCTATTTCTTCTAAGTTGGCCAATGTGTTGGTGTATACTTGTTCAGAGTAGTTTGTCTCTTATAATCCTTTGTATTTCTGTGTTATCAGTT